TGAGTGTACAGAGGAGAGTGAATCTTAACCCTTCATGTGCTTAAAAAACCTCCTATGCAGCCTGTTAAAAATAAATGCATTTTCTGAGGACCCAACCCTCCCCTTTGATTCTAGTTCAGTATGTCTGGGGTGGAGTTTAGAAGCTTCTAAGCACTTCAGGTGATTCTAATGCAGGTGGACCTCCAATCCTGTGAAGTCATGCTGTAGGATCACCTCCCTTGGGCACTAGAGCAAAATCTGGTTTGCACCACCTCTCTCTGTTGCCTCCTGCAGTGATATTCACCTCATGAAGAGGACACAGGCTGGCTTTGTACTTCTTCCCTTCTTTCCTCAGCACAGCTAACACATTTTTCCTGACAAAATCTTTCCAAGCTTCTGTCTCCTTCTTAATACCAAGTGAACCTGAAGCAATTAGTGTCCAGCCATGACTGTAATGTCTTTTGGAAAGGGCAGGAGTGATCCTTTCAGGATCAGGCATGAGAGAGCCTAAAACAGAAATGTGCTGAACAAGGCTTACCCACCTCGAGAACAGTGCTGCCTCTGCCAGAGAAAAATCAGAAAGGTTTTTAAAGGTTCCCTGATAGGGGAAGAATGAGAAAGGATGATCAGAGTCCCTATGGCTAATTAAAAATGTTCACTGATTCACTGATGAAGACATCTGTGTGCTGAAATTATTGAAAGATGACGGTGTAGTCTGAGGGACAGATGTTTGAGGCTGGAAGCTAAATCAGTAACCTGTTTATCAGGAGATCTCTGTCAGACTTCACAGTGGTCTTGCTGTGTGACCTTGAGCCACCTATCTAATCTTGCTGCACCACGCTTTTCTACCCAGGAAATTAGAAGCAATCTTCAAAGTTTTATAAGAAAGACTCTGTTTCTGAAGCTTCATTGACTGAAGGGTCGGCCTTCCACAGATGTAGGTGTGTATGGTGGGAGGTTAAAGATTTCTAAGAACAAGTTCATGTTGCTATAGTTGAAGTTAAAATACTGAGATACTGGGAGGTAATGGCCATAACATCCAGTGAGTTAGTAGAAAAATCAAAGCTATAGTGGTTGAATTTGTAGTCATGATTTAGGCCATGAGCTTTAAACACCCATGGGCACACATAGCTGTGGGGCATGAGTGGCCTTACACACAAGTGACTGAATGAAGATGCTGAATCACCTGGACAGAGAATCGTGTATTGCACTTGCCCTGAATCTGAACAACTAAATACTAAAATACTAATATTTTTTATTTTGATCCTGAATATCTTACTTTATGACAACCTTATGATAGGAGGTCATGGCATATTTGGTCAGTAAGAGGCAGTCTAACTTCTAGAAACTTTTATATCTATAATTGTGTAATTCTATGTTGATACAGCTATCAGGATAGCCATCCTGATGAATCAAAATATCAGAATACCCTTGGAATCATTAAGAAAGATTATTTCATTTTGTTCACTAACAGGGTTAAATCAATTAATTACTTTCTCATTATTTAAATTGATGGAAGTTTATGGTATATATTGTGGTTATTAATTAACATAAATCTTATAATTCAACTGGAACAAAATACAGTCAAGCGTCTTCAATGACAGACCACATATACAACAGTGGTCCCACAGGATTATACTACTATATTTTGACAATACGTTTTCTATGCTTAGATACACAAATGCTTACCATTGTGTTACAGTTGCCCACAGTAACATGCTGTACAGGTGTGTAGCCTAGGAGCAATAGGCTATACCACCTAGGTTTGTGTAAGTGCACACCATGATGTTTGCACAACTGTGAAATTACCTAATGACACATCTCTCAGACTGTATCCCCACAGTTAAGCAACACGTGACTGTAGTAGCTCACTTCTGCAGGATATCTGGAAATGCAGGAGAGTATACAGGTTAATAGTTACATTCCAGCTTTGCCATTTACTAGCAGAGCAAGGAAATGTTTGAGCAGATTACTCAGCCTTTTTGTGACTCCATTTCCTCATCAGGAAATTGGAGAAAATAATGGCACAAATAAAATGAGTTAAAACGTATGAAGTGCTTTGAATAGTACCTATTATGTAGTAATCACTCTATAAATGTTAATTTATTATTACTATTGCTATTGTTATTATAGGATTTTCCTGTTTGCTTGGGACTTTTACCTACTTTTTTCATGTGAGCCTTATGATAAAAGGCAGATAAGTGACTTGCTCCTGGTCTCAAGTCTAGTAAGTGTTGATAGTGGTCCTAAATCCCACATCTTTTGACTTCTGATTCATCACCATATTATGATGTCTCCTTCTCATCCATGTGGGTAAGTGGGTACTATGAGAATATGGTGTGCCCGTCCTGGGACACTGTGTCCTTAGTAGCCACGTATTCCTGGGATTTCAGGTTAAGGTCGAGAATCTGAGAGCATTCTGGCTTTTGGCATCAAGGATCATTTTATTGACCTCAAGTTGTATACGAGCACTGTAGGATGTTTCACAGCCCAGATTAAAGGAGTCACACTTGACAAAAACTGATGTGGAATACCATCTTTCCACAATGCTAAATCTTTTATGATAACCTTCAAGTTCATTGCCTTCCCAAATCACGCTAATAAGAAAATAAGTATGAGCAGAAAAGATGAGACAATTGAACCTGTAAGTGAAATCTTTGTACCAAAATTTGGAATTTTTTTCTCCGAAGTCTTGTCCAGGGATCTCAACTTCTTCAGTGGGTTCTTGGTATCTCATAACATAAAGCACCCTCTCATTAGCACTTGAAAAAATCTCCAGAGAATGCAAATAGCTCTAATATTTTAACAACAAGGATATTGCTTAGATCCATACTTGCCTTCCCATAAAGCTGGATCAAACTGTTGGAAAGTGAATGATCTAGCCCTACAGACAGTACAAACATTAGAAGAGAGAGTTCTGTTAACACCAGATGCCCTTATCTGTAGATAAAGAAATGTAGACTGTAAGAGAAGCACATAAGCATTGCCCAGAGAGACAAAATGAGAGAAGTACAAACCAAAGATGGTTTGAAATATCCACCTCTGTTTTATAGAACCTGGCTTTACTGAGGTTCTTTTAGCTCAAATCCTGCAATTATCCACTTGAACTTTAACAATAGAGTAGCTAGTGAAATTCAAGCTCAGATGTAGTCATTCAACCAAATAGCATCATAACTAAATTGGAAATTTTAACTCATGAGAATTGCTTTTTGTTTTCTACCCTTCAATGCTATAGCCTTCTATACTATATAAGAACATAAGTATTTCTGGATTATCTGAGAGATTTTGACATGGATGCAAAATATCAGTTCATTCCTTTTTTTTTTTTTTTTTTCTTTTGGCCCCAGGAGCTGGGATGAAATCACATGACTTAATCATTCAGAATCCATGTGGCTCCTCTGAGATAGGGCCAGATGTAACCAGAAGGATTTATAGAGTGTAAAATTCAGAATGGATTAGAAAAGCCTTTCTGTGTTCAGCCCAACACATCCTAAATCAACGTCCTCTGAATGGACCAGAGCAATCTCTGGCTGGCCTAGTGGGAGGTTGTCATGGCAACTGACTGGCAAGCTCAGCCAGTGGAATGTGAATGCAAACAATAGAGTGATAAAACTGTGTACAGAGCAGCATACTAAGGCTGCTTCTGCCCAGGTACAGTGACACATCAGTCCAAGTGTGAAACTGTCACTGCATCATGTACCTTCTTGCAATTCTGGCAGCTCGTTTGAAACTTATCAACTGTTCTTTCCCAGGTGTTGATAAAAACATTTCTACTGATAGACAATAGATGATATGGAGAAATCAGCACCCAATAGATAGGTGCAGTGGTATTCAACACCCTGGAGGGCTGTTAGACTAACCCATTCAAAAAATTTCCTAAAGCAGTTTGAAGCAGGCTTAAGGTCAATCTCACGGCTCTCTAGTGCCACCTTGTGTCCTATTATATACTGAAAATTTACTAGAAGCCCACTGTCCGACCCATCACTGAGCAGTCGCAGGGCATAAAAAGGTAGAGCTTGGAGTTTGGTAGCCTTTTTTGCAGCAGATTATGCACATGAAATCTTCTAAGTCACAAGTTGATGAAAAAAATAAAAATTAATAATTTTGGTAGAATCTGGTATTGGGAAAAGAATAAAATGCCAAATAATGTCAGGCCTAGAAAAGATTGCAAGAGGCTACAGGGTGGGCCAGGGTGGGGGGCTGGGTGGTGGTGGAAAAGGATGTCAAAGATAGACTTGGTGTTGAGGATTCATAATGTTGCCATTACTAACTCTTAAAGGAATATATATATATATATATATATATATATATATATATAGCCATGTGGAAAATGCTTATGATTTAAAGTTCAGTGAAAAGCAAGAAATAAAAGCCCATATACAGAATGCATGTAATTGTAAACACATAAATAGATACGATTAAAAATGAGTACACAAAAATCAGTTCTGATGATGGGATTTACCATGAACTTTTTCTCTTTTGAAATGCCCGTAATATTAAACTACTTGTATATAGTTCCTTAAATTAGTCTTTTAAAATATTCTAATTCTTTGAGATCTAAAAATATGAACTCAATATCTCTCTCCTATGTTAGTCCCTTAAGGCCCATCATTCAACTAGTAACTCTGGCTGCAAGACCTGCAGTCAATCTTGGATTTTCCCTTTCCTGTCTACT